GCCCTCAAGACGTGGTTGTTCCAGCTAGCGGGACTGGCCTAAGGGATTTTATAGGGGTTTTAAATTACTTTTAATTGGACATATTTAAATATTTCGTTTTAATTAAATTTTTAATTAGGCATAATATGTATATATGTTAGTATTTTATCGAATTTGTCAGCCGCCCTGAGTCCGTAAGGAGAAGGGCGGGATATAAATGGAATTAATAAAATAAAATAAATAAATAAATAAATTTACTGGCCTCCCATGGGTGCCCCTGGAAAGTGAGTATACTAAGATATTAATATTTATAATGTATGGATATGTGAGTGTGACAGGAGTGTGGCTCTAGTCCTCTCCACCTTGGATTCTGTCCACCAACTGCTGGTATTTCTCCCTTGCTGCTACAAGAAAACAGAAGAGACCCATCCTTGCGCTCAATGGAGAAAAGTTTTCTAATTCAGTGAATGGCGTTTTTTTTTAATTAATTTTCATTAATTTATAGTATACTTCTTTTAAGAGAGGAGGAAGAAGGACAAGAGTCCATTGAATGTTTTCTCATCTTTTAAAATACACGATGTTATACTCTCTGAGCATCATCTCTAAAAGATGTGTGAAAGAGCTTCTGTGAAAAAGAGATTTCATCATCTGAAGATACAGAAACACAAGCTCTCAAATTTTTCAAATGAGGCTTCGGACTTTTAAAAATAGCTTCAGTGTCACGCAAAGACAGAGATGTTAATACAAACAAGTATAGTCTCTCTGAGACACAAAAGCTTTATTCTAGTGACCTTTCTAGATGGAGAAGAAAATGGAGGTAGTGACAGATTTTATCTTCCTGGGCTCCAAGATCACCACAGATGGGGACTGCAGCCAAGAAATTAAAAGACACTTGCTCCTGGGGAGGAAAGCTATGGCAAATCTAGACAGCATACTAAAAAGCAGAGATGTCACCCTGCCAAGAAAAGTGCGTATAGTCAAGGCCATGGTTTCCCAGTTGCAATGTATGGCTGTGAAAGTTGGACCATAAGAAAGGCTGAGCGCCAAAGAATTGAGGCCTTTGAACTATGGTGCTGGAGAAGACTCCTGCGAGTCCCCTGGACTGCAAGGCGATCAAACCGGTCAGTCCTAGAGGAGATGAACCCTGACTGCTCTTTAGAAGGCCAGATCCTGAAGTTGAAACTCAAGTACTTTGGCCACCTAATGAGAAGGAAGGACTCACTGGAGAAGAGCCTAATGCTGGGAAAGATGGAGGGCAATAGAAGAAGGGGACGACAGAGAAGGAAGTGGCTGGATGGAGTCACTGAAGTAGTAGGCGTGAGCTTAAATGGACTCCAGAAGATGGTAGGGGACAGGAAGGCCTGGAGAAACGTTGTCCATGGGGTCGCGATGGGTCGGACACGACTTCGCAACTAAAAACAACAAAATTCATTTTATTGAGGCTAATTTGGCAAAAAATGCATTGACTGAACCACAAAATATTTACATATTTACCCACCTTTAAGATCCAGTTCATATACAATACAAAAGGAATCTCTTGCGGATGCCAGGATTTTGTGCGCCTCTCTGTTAAATTTTGGCTAAGTTCATGCAAGGTATTCATCATACTAAATTATGTAGTTTTGCTTAGCTGTGGTTTATTGAATAAATCACAGTTTACGGTGACTCAGTCATAATAACCATAATGCCACTGTGCTAACCTAATGTGAAACATAATTGTGACTTGGCACAATAAGTGAATTAAGGGATAACAGTATTGTGATTGGTTTGAGCTATACAAGGGATGAACGCAGCCATTCTGTAAATAGTGTTTTATGGTTTAGATCAGTGCTTGTGTTGGTCCAAACAAGATTTCTGCTTTAACCTTGTTCTTCTCAATCAGATAAACGCCAAAGAACGGAATATTAGATCATTTATTTTGACAGGAATCCCAAACAATAACTTACAGTTAAGAAGAGTTCTTCTGCTGAACATATCATGACCTTCTCCATTCTTTTGGGTGAAAGACTGAAGGTGAACTCACCCCATGGCTCTTATGGGACACATCACCTCGTGTCTTTCTTCACAAAGACCTCTTTTACAAACTGGCACGTAGCCAGGATATCCTGTGATGAACTTAGTAGCCCCTCCTACTGACTTGTTAATATGGGATTCACTGAATAGCTAAAACTCTCTTAAGGAGACAGCGCTTAACCCTATAAATGCCAAACATTCTAACATACAGATCTATATGCTCTGGTCAGGGTTACATTGATCCAGCACAGTGCTTCTGAACCTTGGATGCTTGAAGATGTGTGGACTGCAACTCCCAGAATTCCATAGCCAGCCATGCTGGCTGTGGAATTCTGGGAGTTAAAGTCCATACATCTGCAAGCATCCAAGGTTCAGAAGCACTGTTTTAGATGATACATGAACCAGTCTATTAAATCAGTTCCACCTTCAAGTCAGGCTCATGTGTTTGGCATCATGTGGGGAAGGTTTGGCATTGCCTTTTTCCTGAATGTCTTTTAATTTCGCATTTTTTTCCTCCCGGCTTGGATTTTCCCCAACCAACTACTACTTAATATTGATCTGTTTAGCTTCTGAAACGGATCTCAAAAGCTACCAGCCAACAGTGCTTTTGATGTCCCAGATTTAACCTTATGTGAATTTCAGTACTTGATCCACACCTCGAGTACTGACATGATAAATGATATCTGTCTGGCAATTAGTTTTGATTATGAGTTAGATCAGGGGTCTTCAAACTTGGCCTTTTTATGACTTGTGGATTTCAACTCCCAGAATTCCTCAGCCAGGCACGCTGACTGAGGAATTCTGGGAGTTGAAGTCCACAAGTGATAAAAGGGCCAAGTTTGAAGACTCCTGGAGTTACATGTATTTCAGCTTGTACCTTTAACAAATTAAAAAGACTAGGTGTGGGTCTCTTTTGCTTGACACCCCCAACAGTAGTTTCTGTTCCTGTTTTAGCAAATAACTGCTTGGTGAACAATTGCCTATTTCTTTTTATTAGATTGCTAAACATTTCCCATTACTTTTCCTCTCTGAAAATATATTTAAATTTCCATAAACATATATCACATCACAGCTTTACTCTGGTTCAAAAGCACACTTCAAAAAAAGAGAGAGAAACTTACATCCTTTCCATTTTTCCCCTTGGGGGGAGAAGCAGACCTTGGTGATATTGTTATTTTTAGTTTTGTTATGGAACTGGGAACAGGCGAGGAATTCTGGCCAAGAAGAATTGACCATTGCAAGGACTGGTTCACATCCTTTCTTTGCAGCCTCACAAAATGATCTACAAGGCAGAAGTCCACGACTACAAAGGAAAAGAAAATAAAAGGTTATGTGTCTTTTGATACCTACATTTGTTTTAACTTTTAAACATGACAGAAGTATATAATTTTTAGTTTGGAGTTTCTCAACTTTGGCAACCTTAAGATATGTGGGCTTCAACTTCTAGAATTCCTCAGCCACACATCTTAAAATTATTATTATTATTCCATTCCTCCCTATACGCCACCTACATAATGCTAGACCAGGGGTAGGCAACCTTGGCTCTTTTATGACTCGTGGACTTCAACTCCCAGAATTCCTGAGCCAGCATGGCTCAGCTTGGAAACTCTCCCTTTCCCCTCAGCATGGCTGCCTCAGGAATTCTGGGAGTTGAAGTCCACGAGTCATAAAAGAGCCAAGGTTGCCTACCTCTGTGCTAGACCATTCACATACTAATGTTAAAAAAATGCAACTAAAGACAACAATAAAGGCAACAAACGAAAGCCTGAATATAACTGCACATCAGGGAAGGATAATAAAATCCCTCTTTACCTTGGAGATAAACAGTATTTTTTTTTTTTTCTATAAAATTTTTTATTGTTTTTATCATAAAAAAAAGAAATACATCACAGATATTACACAATGTTATATCCCATCCCCCCACCCCCCCGGACTTCCCAAACCAACCTAGGCTAATATTCAAATACAAGTACACAAATATTAATATCTCTAACTCCAACGTCTAAACTTAAACAATCCATCTCCTCCGTATTAATAAAAATTATTCATTTAGTTAGTTCTTCAAATATCCAAAATCTTTACCATTTCAGCAAGATAGTTTAACACCATCCCTTACTTATACA